TTAAAGAATGCTGCTGGGGGCTTGGGGGGGGGAAACAGCCCGTCTTTTGCTCATTTCCGCCCTCCCCAGCCCCCAGGAGCTGTCTGAAAGCCTCCAGAAGGGTATGCACAGCCATTTTGGTGAAGGGGTGGGGCTTCGGGAGGCAAAAAATGTATTTGGTGTATAAGACGCACCAAGATTTTCAGCCTCTTTTTTGAGGAAAAAGGGTGCATCTTATACTCCGAAAAATATGGTAGATAAAAACTCTACTTGTCTAAATACTGGGTAAATATTATCAAAGTTAGCAAATTGCACTAGTAGATTTTTTTAAAGAGTTTACATAGGAGTGTAGCCAGCAGAAAGATTAATCATTATGGTTCAAAGATATGGAGGTAAAATTACATCATGCACTAGATTAGATTAAAAATATTACCTCACTCTTAATTCAGTTAATATGTTTAATACAAAATGCATTGTCTATGAGCGAGTGTCCAGGAGTTCTCCAAACTCATTCTTTATGTAAAATGCAAAAATAACATCCAAACAATATTTCCACCCAGTAATGTCCAGGCCCATGTAGTTTGGATCAGATGACAGACTACATAGCAACATTTATTGAGCACTTGAAAAATGAGGATATTCAAACAAAATACAAGAGTAGTACAGATATTACATTTCTGGGGATGTCTCTCTTCACAAGTTACTGATAAAGGTAAGCAAGTGCTTAATTTCAACATAGGTACTAACTGCTAGTGATTCGTAAAAGATAATTTGGATCATGGTGGCAAAGGGTCGGCACAGTTTCCAACAGAGAAAATATTATAACAAGAAGCCAGGACTGAACAAATCTAAGGCCGGCTATTAACTTTTTAGTTGTAACAGTCATTTCGGAACCCAAGAATATATTTTAAGTCATAGTCAACATGATATGTTATGAGGAACGAATATATATATATACACACACACACATACATACACACACTGTATATCCCGTGTTGATGAGATCACACTCGTCATCTTCAGGCTGGTGCCTTTGGCTTCGTGCTTGTGCGAGCAAAGATGACGAGTGTGACCTCGTCAAAACGTTGCTAAGATACTATCAATCTTACATGGGAAAAGACCCGAATACATATCTATCTATCTATCTATCTATCTATCTATCTATCTATCTATCTATCTATCTATCTATCTATCTATCTATCTATCTATTAATAATAATTTAAGATAAATTATTAAAGAGGCCACTGTATTTATATCACTGACTTTAAAAAATGAAATATCATATCCAATTATCTAAATATTTAAAATGTGTACCTGTCACTGAGTTTAGTAATTTTAAGAAAAATAAAATCCTCCTTACCTCTGACTGACATTTTTCTTCGGGCTATGAGGGGGGAAAAAAGAGACTTTGTTTGAAAAGTGTATTAAAATCAGCGGATTCATTTAATTGTTCAGCTTACCAATAACCTGTCACTCAAAACACTTGTCTTTTTAATCCAAAACAGCTTTTATTCAGCTATGTAATTTACTATTTAATAATATTCATTTTGTGCAGTTTGTATAATATGAAAATAGAAACATTAAAATATTACTGTAAATAAATAATAAATATTATTGCACTCTATTCCATAATGTCAGTAAATGCAGCAGGCACAATTTTTCCAAAAAATAATAATAATAATAAGATACACTTATAAGATATTAGGGCAGGGATCCCCAACCCCAGACTATGGATTGGCATCTGATCACAGTGCGCAAAAAACTATGCTGCACAAACAAGCGAAGCTCCATCCACGCATGTCCGGTCTGTGGAAAAACCTCTCTCCATGGGACCAGTTCTTGGTGCCCAAAATGCTGGGGATCACTGACTCAGGGCTTAAATTTATCAGAAATAAATATTGATTTCACTGATTATTTTCTTCTCCAGCTCTGTAGTTATAAATAGCTGCACTAATGAATCCAGGAGCTTATCAAATGGGACATGCTCCTCTTGATTAGTGGTAAATTATGTTATGCTACTGGCTAATTAGCAGTGTGTACTTCTCTTAAACACCACTTTTTGTAAGCTAAAGACATCCACTTTTCACTAGGTATTATTTTAATTGAAAGTGCTACATTACATAAAACAAATAGAAGAGCTTATGTAATTCCCTATGTGACTTCTGCTTTTAAGTCCAACTTGGATTCATCAGTTTATCAGTCACAGTTTCCCCATCCACTGATTTCATAAGATTTTCTATCCATCTTATAGAAATCAAAGGATAAGAATACAATAAAGCATGGAAGTTGCTTGTGGGAACAATTATTCCATTCCTTCTTCTAGTTTGAGCTCTCAGGTCCATAGTCCTACTTAATGAATTAAATTTGTTACGTTCTTTTGCTGCCAACTTCATACAGACTGATTGTGGTTATGACACTCACCGTTGAGTAAATAGATGATGTGCTTGACACCAAAGATAGAGATGAACCATGCACTACAGGAAAGATAAATAAACACATTAGCCATTGGATTTTTGTTTTATATGATAAGTAACAACAGCAGATTATTACATAAGCCGTATACATACTACGGATGTTCATAAGGGCTACACATTTCACCAGCAGCCTATTTAAAAATTGCATCACCAGTCATGAACGTATTTACTGAACATAAATCTTTGCAGACGTATCAGAAGGTAAGCTGAAATAAATGGAAGCATTATACAGACCATAGCCCAAAATGATCTCAAATCAAGCTTTTAAAAATCATTACTTGGATGTAAATATTTTGCCTGCTTGTTGTATTTCAAACATTGCAAGGTTATGATAGTGCATGGAAAATGGAACAGAAGATGATGAGAAGCAGACAAAGTAAAGGTTCAACTGACCAGTCCAGTTTCACCATATTGTTGGCCTGAAGCATAAACAGTAAAAGGGAGTTAAAAGATTTCGTAAATAAAAAAGACTGAATATTTTGGTGTGACTAGGTTAGATAAAAAGACTCATTTAATTGTAAATCAGCAATGTAAGAGAAAGTACACTGGAATATATTTTGATATTTCCTAAGGGAAAAAAAACCTAGGGAAAAATACATTTTTGTCAAACATATTTACAAAGTGATTTACAAAATAGTTTTAAAATATTAACATATAAATGTATGTATTCATATTTTAAAAAGCAAACATAATTATTTAACAAATTTATACAGCTTTGGTATCAAAAGCTATTCATAGCTAAATGATGCTCAAATTCTGTATATCTACAGTGGAAAATACATTGTATTATTTTCCAGAAACACTTCCTATATTATTTCTTTTAAAATGGCTAATCCCCCAGTCCTTGAAGAATAAGGCTAGCTGTTGAACAGGCAAGATGACATTTTCTTTCTATATTAGTCCTAAAAAAACTTTAGATTGCCAAGAAGCCGAGAGTGCAATGGACTCATAGATCTGACTCAATGCAGAATGGCACACCATTTTGTACAATAATTATTGGAAACCAAGCATGTTGCTTTCTGATTGCCTTCCTTCTAGCAACACACCTGGGTAGATACTCAATAAAGTATTAATAGTAAAATGGCAATGTATCTGTCAAAGTAGGACCCATGGATTCCTCACATCAATTGTATACTTTTTGGTCTGTTTTAAAGGCATATTCAATACTTTTTATTAAAACTGAACAAATATATAAATAATTGGATTGTTAGCAGTATGTAAAACATGATTCTTGCATGCCTGCATTGCTATGGAACTTTTAATGTACAGCATGTAAACAGTATCAGTAACTTTAAAAATAGCACTTTCAGCAAATATGTGAATCAGGCTATTACGGTATATTTTACAAACCCAGTTACTGTATACAATGTAATCAAGTTTGCAGTAGTGACTTTATTCTGGTATGTGAATTTTTGAAATGTGGTTTTTATGACATTTAAATTCTGCTTCTATTAGACATTCCTAAATCATTATAAGGAGAACTTGTATGAAAATAAATCACCTGCTATTGTTACAAGTTCTAAAAATGCACAGTGATTTCTTGTATTAAGGAGTTTACTTTTACATTCATCAAATACCAAGAATATTTTACAACCTCTTAGTTCACCAAAATGCTTATGTGTCTGAAAATCTGAATACCAAGTATGATGTTTCTGTATTTCAAGACCGCATATTGAATTATTCTGCTTTGAGTCCAAAATTATTCTTGGCACAGAAAATATTATACATATTTCATTTGTTATACTTTTCATTTTTTTTCTTTTATTAAATTTACAATTCTTGCAGAATGCAAATTTCCCAGGAAATTCACACACTTCCATCTAAAACATATATTTATGGTTCCTGCAATTGTGTAAAATGGGAAAAAAAAGAACTGTTCTGACCCATAAAGATCACAATTAAACATAAAATTTAAGAAGTATACTAAGAAAAGCCTGGTATTAAATTAGGCAATTAAAAACTCAACTTATTTTTGAACCTTCACAATATTTTTTTTTAACTCTGACAAAGACTTGACCTGGTTAGTCCACCAACTGGTCACCCAAGTGCTGAGCTCAGTGAACAAGATACCAAGTGTCAGCTACTTTTTAGGTAGTATAACTATTTCAGAGAAAAATTTTGAAAACCCCAAAGTGAAATCATTACTAGGCGCAACCAATTCATATTCAACTGATAGTAGAAGAAAGAAGTTTGGGCAGAGAAAGATCAGTAGCTTAGGAAATTACATTACTGAACTTCAATCAGTAAATTAGATAAGTGGGAAGTGAGAATTTCCATTTTATGTGCCTAACTCAATATTCTTATCCAGGCCACATAGGTGCTTCTGCTTTTTAAATGCCACAAGTCTCCATCTCACCTTTACTGTTGGGGAGAGTAAAGGCAACTTAGAAGATGTTGCTGCTTCAGGGTGATAGGTTGCTTGACATGGTAAATTCCCAGTGACCTGCACTGTTGGTGCATGAGAAGGAGTCTAGGATATGTCTGGTTCTGGGACCAGGAAGAGTCTTACGGTCCTTGTTCCTCCTAATTTGAGCTAATATTGCACCACTGTCAACAAGTATTTTTTTCCCCACATCCCTGACTGCAGTCTACTTAATGCAGCCTTTAGGACAAAAGAGTTTTTTCTATCTCTTCCAGAGAAATTAAAGATGAGCTAAAAGGGTCACTATTTGAAATCAGTGATATTAGGTAAGCTGAAAATAGGGATAAGCAGTAGGAGAGGTCTGAAAAAGAGGTCTTGTGCATTCAAGAGTAGCATTAAGGCTTTGCAGACTATTTCACAGATCTTTTCACATCTAAAAATCACAAGCGTGTTGATGCTTTTGTCTCCTTGATTTATCTGAACCATTTTTCTCACCTCAGGTCAAACAATAACATCTGATTCCTACCCCTATTTTCTGACATTGGCATTTGTTGAAAAACAAAGCCTACCATGTTAAAGTTTTGAATATGTGTTTTGTTGTTTTTTCCCCTTTCTCCGTAAATATAAGGGAAATAAACATCTATCAAAAATTAATAAACAATTTTTGTCATTCCTTCCCATATGCATACACGATTCAACTTTTTTGGGAAAAAAATGAACTGGATCTCTTACCCTCTTCAAATCCATCCCGGAATGACCCAGAACGGCTCATTGTCCTGCTCTTTTCATCCAGTGACATTGAGCTGTTCCGGAACCGGGACTCATTGTAAGGATCGTAAGGGCCATCTGCGTTAGAAAGACTGTGCGTCCGGAGCATGGTTGGGTTGGATAAGCTCATTTGGGCTGCTGTGGTGGGACTCGCTAGAAAGCAAACCAGAGATAGGAAATTCACAGATCTATACTCATGCTATGCTACTTTCACAAATGAACAAACCACACTGTTACTATAAGCATAAGAGTAGCAGTCTCTAACTAAATCTTTTTTAAAATTTGTCCTGTATTAATCAGGTAGAAAATGAAGTTTTGGGAAAAAAAACTTCTACAACCATGCTTGCCTCAACCATGTTGATTCTGAATAGTAACCAAGTTATAGTAGTAACTGAAATTGTGGTAGTTAGGCACAAAGTCAGACATTATTAGAATATCAAGACATTGGAGAGGATACTCGCAAAGCTAAAACTCCTTGGATCTGAATCCTGCTTCCCACAATAAAGTAATTTGGTACCTTTAAGACATTGCAATCTTCGTTATTAAATAATAGAGTTCCCAGAAAAATAACCAAGTAATAACTAAGATTTCAGAGACAAGGCTGACCCATTAAAAATATATTTTTATCATAGAATTGGTAATACATTTCTGGGTATCATATGATATACATTTTCAACTATTCATCTTCTGATCTGATTTTTGGCTCCTGGTCAAACTTACTTAGTTAATAGTTAAGGCTATGCAAAATTTGCACTGTTTTGCTTCACAGAGAGTTAATTTTGATCACTGGAGGAATTCACTTTAAAATGTTGCCCCGATTCAGAAAAGCAAGATACTCCAATGGAAAGCACTGAAGTGAGTCATTTTATTTCACTTGGCTGTTTTGCTTTGATGGCAATGTCTTCTATTGAAACAGTCAATTCCGTATGATATGACAACCCACAACCTCTAGAAGCAAGGTGTGCATCAAAAGGGCAGTTCACTGAAGCTTTGATAAAAACAAAGAATCTCTTTGAGGCTTTGTACTAATCTAGCAACTATTATTCTTATGACTCTATCAAGGCAAGTCGTTATGTAGTGGCTGCCAAACTATCTTAGATCTTAAGCTGTAAGTTCATTCATAGTGAAGATTAAATAAAGCAAATGATTGTTTCTTTAAAAAAAACCAATTATATAACCAATTAAAACCAGATTAGTGGAAATAATGAATAATTTTTCAGATGTAACATAAAACTTGCATGGTTCTAAAAATCTGAAAGAAATGTTTATGCAAAAGCAAACTCCTCTGACACTCCAAAATGCTAAGTTATAAATTAGAAAAGTAGGTGTATAATGACAATACTGGTTTGGTATGTTTCAACTGGCATGCTATATCAACACATGCTAGCTTATCAGTATCAATCTCCAATTAAATTTACATTTTTTTTGAACAAGCTGTACATTTCACAGTTGAAAGAAATCATAAAAGTTTACTCACCAAGCTGGGAGAAGTTAAATCTAGTCCCAGATGGTGATGTGATGCTGGAACCAGAAGAAAATGGAGAATTGACAACAGTGTCCTGAAGACCTCCAGCAGAATGTGAACGCAGCCATTCTTTTGCATCCTCTTGATTGCGAAGTTGTGATGATGGTGTATACCTGCACAAATCACAACCAGGTTTAGCTTTTGCTCAGAAATATCTTGCTTGACAAAACTACAAAAGTATTTTAGAGAAAATAGCAAAGTGAAAAGAAGTCTTTTCCTTGCCAGAACACACCTTTTCTTGTTAGTAGAATTAGCCTAGTTGAAAATTTTCATCTTATATTTATGAACGTTTTAAATTTGGGACACATCAGTTTGTATCATAATTAAAGTAGGATGATATAAGCATGATTAAGTATGGATTTAAGTAGATTCCTCTGAATGTCAAATTCAAAGAAATGCTTTAATATGGGTAGCTGTTACCAATATCTGTTATCCATGAATAGGAACATTATAGATTTATCTGATAGCTTGCATTTCCTCCTGGCTTGTAAATAGCCATTCATAATCTGTCTATGCAAGATACCATGAAATCTAATGTGTGATTTAAAGCCAGTTAATTATTCCTTATCTGACAAGATACTTTTGAACATCTTAAACTTGATGACCCCTAGTAATGTTTAAACAATTTCCAATGATCATATTCAACAAGGCCAACAGCCACTACTGCCACTACATACTAATTTTTAGAGTTGGTTCTACATAAATATATGTATACAAATACATGGAGGTTATTGGCTTGTACAAAGGTGATGGGAGAAAAGCTAAAATTAGGTCCTTAAAATATTGCTGCTCAAAAGCTCAAAACTGAATTGCAAGAATCAAACCTGAAGATCTAGCAAAAGGAGATATATGTGTGCCTATAGATTGTGTAAATTTTTGGTTCATATGATTACCATCATTTGATAATGACTTAACTGACTGACTCCACTTTTTGCACTCCACATATGTACCATATACTCAAGGGTAAGCCAAGAATTTTAGGTGTGAAGATACACCTGAAAAATTGGTTAGGCTTATTTGTGAGCATTTTTCTTCAGCTTTTTAACATACCTACATTCAGTATATACTTGTGGATAAGTTCTAATTTTTAAGCAAAATACAATGAAAAATGCACTAGCCATGAAATCAGCCAATAATGAAAACTAAACATATGAAAATTTCAAAGGCTGGTTTATCTACAGCTGGCTTATATATGAGCTTATACACAATTATACCCAATCAGAATATCAGTCTGATGAAGACTGAAATTAATATGTAATGTGAGAGGTGTTGATTTTTTCCTTCTTGCCAGCAATAAAAATAAAATAAGCATTGCCAGCAAGCAAATATATTCTTTAAAACACCTCATTTAAAGTACAAGCAGTTATATTTTATGCATAGCTTTGGTAGGAATTTCAATATTTAATTCACATTTTCCAGAGTAATCTAGTGATGTTAATTTGTACTTGGCACCTAAAAGCTAGATTTTGCTGTTAAGATTTCTGATGTTAAAAGTTATTCACGTGTATTGAGAAACTGGATCCATAAAAAGGCACACAAACATTAGAGGAATATGCAAATGAACAAACTACAGATACCTACCTCCTTGACATTTATATGTTTCAAGCTTAAAAAACAGTATTCATTAATAATTGGAGACATTGGATAGGTGGAAAAGATATTACAAACCAATTAACTTATTCAATCTTAACCCTCCCGTATTTTACACAGCACTTCTAGCATTGAGCTCAGTGAGACAATCAAAGATACTGCAAATAACAGGGTGTTTATAGCACAGAATAAATTGCAGCTGTAATTTAAAGCCATCAGGACAGTGATTGTAAAAAAGCAGGAGCACAATCTAGTCTAAAATTGAACAGACAATATCTGTGGAAAATTGAACAGACAATATCTGTGGACTTTCATGTCTAAACTAATTCTACCCTGGTCTCTGGGTGTCATGTGAATTTCGTTGTATGTATATACTGTGTATATACGTACAATGACAATAAAGTTTATATATCAGGTTAATGGAGTAAAGTTGTTAAGTTTTCATTGAAAGAAGAGAGCATCCTTTTTCAGTCTAATTTTTTTAATGTCAAATTGCTTATAATACATAATATAAATTTTAATCATTAATTCAACATCTTTTTTTTCTTAAGCACAATTACTGCTTCGGTTGTCGGTTGTCGTATAGCAAAGCCTGCACTTTTAATGACTTCTCAGTTCTTCTTGATCTGCATTTCAGAAGTTAACACTGTGAGAATAACATCATCCAGTTGCTATTTCAGTCATAAAAGCTGCAAATTATTGCTTGCAAGTCAAGCTTGGTGAGTTGGTTTTTGAAAAGCCAGCCAGCTATAGTTACAAATCCTGCTCAAGCTGAGAAGCTATGAAAAGAAGCATGTAGGTGAGAAGACAGAATAATGACCTGCTTCAAGAGGACATGGCTTGGGGGGTGAGAGGGGGATGGAAGACAGGGAGAAAGAGACTGCAGCCACTCACTGCAAAGCAGAGACCACCACCAGCGCTAAAGACACTGAAGACACACAGGCAAAAGAAAAGAAAAAATTCCCCAAACCACATGGAAAACTACTTATGCTATACGGAAACACCAATACCTGAGTCCTTTCTTAGGCAAAGTGTTCCTATCAAGATGTGGGTCGCTGTAGAAAAGTTAAAAGAGAAAGAACTTCAGAGAAGAGCAAAAAGGAAATTAAAGGTCAGTTTGAAAAAAAAGAACACTAATAAACAACTCTGTCTTAGCACTGAAAAAAGAGAGACAAAAGCCCCTGTCAAACCAACATGCAAAAACCTAACCAGATTTAGACTCTGTTACACAGGACATGCAAACGGGACCATGCTAGATGAACTCAAACCCAAGACTGAGATCTCATATCTCAATTCAACCTTCTCCAATTTGGAACTTTTCAGATGGAAATTTAGGAAAGTGGCAAGCCTAACATATCTGGAGGACTTAGAATTTTGAACGTTCTAAATACTTATTTTAATGCAACTTTTCAAGCTCATTTGGAAGTTGGACTGGCCATTTCTCTACCATAAAAGTAACTGGGACACTTTCTTTTCTTAATATGTACATATTTCAGATGAACTTTTCTCAGTAAATGTAGACTGGTCATCCCTATGACAATGTTGAAAAATTTCCTTTAAAAATACACAAAAAATACAACACTATCTCTCAACTCTCAAACAAGATTCCCCACCCAGCATCAGATTGGAATTAATAATACAATCTGCAACCTTTTGAAGGGTAAAAAAGGGATATTAGTTGCATGAACCAGAGGCGTCTATGAGTAGGATTGTTTATTATTTGCTTTCAGGAAATAAGCTTAGCATTGAAATAAGCTATATTCAAATCACACCTGACCCTCTTTCAAAAACACAACTTCTGCAAGCTAGGTTTATAAATGTTCAAAAGCCTTGTTCTGAATAATCTCTGCCAACAGTACAAATACTTTTTAGTTTAATGAGGGAACAAATAATAGATTGATCACATAACTAGATTCCCTTTGTAATAGAGATGGGTGGTTCCAAAATGTTTAAACAAATAAGATAAACTAGACACTCTAAAGTGAATCCTGAAATGATGCATCAAATGAAATGAGTCATAGTCTACAAGAGATTATGCCTGAAAACATAAATTTATATTTAAGCTCCCACAAGTTTTTTGCTATTCTAGCTCTAATAGAGTAACAATCACCTTTCTGGAAATCATTTAATTATGTCATTTATTAAACAATTAAATATCTCTAATAATAATAAGTTCTGAAACTTAGTAAAGAAGAGTATTGACTGCAAGGTTTTAGTGCAGGAAATATAGAGAATTATATTGATTCTACCATTATAATTAATTTCTAAACATCTAATGGTAGCAATAACATTTCCAGTGTGCTTTGCTGCACATTGTTTCCATACGTTCATTCTTACAAGAAAGTACACTGAACAAAATACCAAAAGAGCCAAAAATTTCCAAAATTGACACTGATGTAAGCAACTTATTACAGGGACTAATTTCAGCCACAACAGAAGAGTTGGGGATGGAAACCAAGACAAAAGGTGAAACAACTGAAAACATGAGGGAAAGCGGCATGCCACCAGAATGCAGAAATGCTAGTGAGAGTTTAACCTTCCAGTAAAAAAACACAGAACTTTGTAAGATCCTTAAGTTTGCATTCTTAAAAAAACATTACATTTGTCCCATGGTTCTCCAGAATAAACTGGGTCATTGCTGCTGTTAAATATACTCTCACTGGCATGTCTTTGAGTGACAGTTCAACACAGCCCAGTGAAATATACACACACTCTCCACTGAGCACAGTCTTGCACAATACACTTTGGCTTCTTAAGCATCACAATGAACCCTCCTGGATCTTGTGTATTCCACTGCCCTATGAAAGACAGCATTACCTGTCCTGCCTCCTGGGTAAAGTATTTCTGCAGAATTTGGGACTAGCAGCAGGGGAAGAGAGAGGGCTAGAAGAAGTTCAACAAGACAGAAAAACAAAACAACAACAAAAGAGAGAGAGAGGAAGATTAGCACAAAGGGAAGAAAGGGAAAGCTGTTAGAAAAAAAAAAGAATCCATTCACAGTTTGATAACAGTTATTTTATGTTGCGAAGCCATAGATCGTTAAAAGATTCCAGGAACTGCCTAAGTCAGAGGTGTCCAACTCATGGCCCACAGGCCGGATACGTCACACATTGGCCACAGCCATCCCCGGTTTAGTGAAGAGGAAAAAGTCACAATACGTCACATGATGTCGCGAGTTTGACACCCGTGGCCTAAGAGATTTAGCAAAGTCAGGCTGCATCCAAAACAATTCAGGAAGAGCTACAGTCCTGGGTCTTCTTGCCATAGGTTTTCTCTGTTCCTATGCAGAGATGGACTAAGATGACTCTTCCAATTGTTCATTTTCCTAGAAATAGGCAAATTCATTCATAGCAATAGCTAAAGGGCTATATGGTACTCATTCTTGTACTACAAATTGATTTCAACTACAGGTAATCCTCGCTTAAACAACTGGTTGTTTTATGACCAAAGTTATGACAGACACAGAAAAGGAGCTTTTTGGTCTGAAAAGCCTTAAAGACCAGGCCAAAGAAAATGGCCACCCTGAGGACATATGTTCACATGACCGGCAGGTCAGTTTTATGCAGTCTGCAGTCACGTGTTTCTGGCATTTTACCTCGTTTTCGGGAGGGTGGGGAAGATCACTTAATGTCCACTGTGTTTGCTTAATGACTGTCATTTTAAGTCTTGAAAATTACTTCTGATCACATGGGTGCCTTGACTTATCGCCATAACAACTTACAACCATAATTCTGAGCTCAATTAGGTAAGACAAGGACTATTCGTAAAATATTTAATATGTTTATATGATCCTGGCTGAAATCTAAAAAGAAGCAGTCAAGGAAACACAATTGGCTGACATACAAGCTAGATNGGTTAGGGTTAGTCTCCCACCCTCTCCTGCCCACCCTCTCCACAGGCAGGGTTTCTTTCCACTTATTATAACCATCTCCCCCTCTGACTTAAAAATTGTTTAATTTTTTTTTGTTCACATTTCTTTTTGCACTGTCCTACACTCCCTTTCCTTTGTGATTGTAAGCCGCCCTGAGTCCCCTCAGGGAAAAGGGCGGCCTATAAATGCTCAATAAATCAAATCAAATCAATCAAATGACTCTTACCCAGATGAGAAATCAACACATTCCCATCCCTCCCATCCATGTCTGGTTCTAATCCAAATGGTAGAAAGAAAGGGGAGAGTCCCCTCAACCATGGTAGGAGACCCCATATGGTAGGAGAACCCACAGTTTAGTGGCTTAGGAAATTGTTATAAAGCAATCCTCAAGCGTAGCTTATTATAGAGGGCAGCTGAGGGTGAAAGTGTACTTTATAAATATCTCACCCCATTATCCTATATTATACTTCACATAAAGAGATCAGAGTGAGACTGAAAGAATGGAATACTACTAATTATATAATAATATCACCCGATGTTGCTAATTTCACTTCAAAACTATGAGGGTGGGGAAGGGAAGATAATATTAAAAAGCTACCCTATCAGGATTATACTACAATGTAGTTCACTATTATTGCACCTTTTCTGCAGATTACTGATAGGCTGCTTACAATTCAACATAGTCCTCTTTTAAAAATGCAAGGCAAGGTGGGACTGAGGTTCTCTAAAACTGCTAGATAAAAATTTTCAATGGAGAACGATGCACAATTATTAGCCTATGTTAAACAGTTGCAAACAGAAATTTTAACTTTACTTGTCTGCGAAAGCCTTGAATTTGAAAAAAATGAAAAGAAATCATATTGTTCATATAAAATAAAGGTAATTAGAAACCAATCTGTCTAATGTACATACTAATATGTAAATTAATATGCCTGGATTTAGGAAGCAAACTAAGGGAAAAAAAACCCACTGGATATCTGATCTGAAACAGGGAAGCTGCAGGTTCAGAAATGCCTATGCTTCTCCATTTCCAATTACTCATCCCAAAAGTGGCTTTTTCAGTCTATAAAAGCTATTTGAAAATTAATCAACATGTTGCATCTGATTTGCCTCCAAGAAGCAGGTACTTCAAAATCAAAATCAGCAACAGAGGATCCAATGGAAATCACAGCTGAGAGCACATAGTACAGCTTGTTAGTTCAACTAAATTAAAACTAAGATTTGCTTCATCAATGCTTCATTAGACAATGTTTGGAATATGATGTATATATTTCTGAAGTCCTTGAAGATTGGATATGAATGCATTAAATAAATTACTGAATTTATTTATTTATTTCATTTGTCACCCATCTAGCCGCAAGGTGACGCTCAGATTCCAAAACAGTGATGGTCATATGCAAGGTCCCGAATGGGACAACTCACTGCAGCCAACTCATCATGGTCAACTCGCCATGGCCAATTCGCCACAAGTCAAATTGTTGGAACAATTCAACTGAATTATTTAAAATAGTTAAAATATTTTTTTTAAAAAAAATTAAATTCACATATCATTTTGTCCCTCCTTTGGCACCTTTTCTTTCATGATGTTATCCCACTATTTCTTTGATATTAGTGTGACTCTTGTCATGCAGTGAAACTTCCAGGGGCCAACGAGTTGGTCATGGCGAATTGATTGTGGTGAATTGTCATAGACCCTGCAAGGTCTTGGATTCCATTCCCCAAAAATGCTTCAGAAGGTGTGAGAGCACAATAAACGCAACACTAGTTGGTAATACTTTAAAGCAGCAGGGCAATCCTAATCCTAACCCTAACCCCTTCCCTATCCACCTCAAGGCACCTTTTTGGTCCAAAGCACCTTTTAGAGATGTAATCTGAGATGCCACTGAGCAGCACAAAACAGTCTGGAAAACTCATTCTGTCTCTTCCCCAGCCGTTCCAGGCAGGAATTATATCCACCCATGGATTAAAATTCTGTTGAAGAAAGATTCACAGGGCAACTTTTCCAAGAATGTGGACCCTTTCATGGAATGAAAGTACTGGAGGCAATCTGTTCATTCATCCTAAACCACATGATACAACTATACAAATGAAGCAAACGGAAGAAACATGGACAGTGCTACCAAAGATGTAGCAATTAGTTTAAGTTAATTGGGGGGGGCGGGTTTAAATGCAGAATGTGAATTATATTTTGGCAGAAAATTCAGAATGGTCAGCATCTAATGCAATCACTCTGTGAAAGGAAGCTCATAGAGGGTTCCTTTGATGAATGAAGCTCTTGTTCTACAAAGAGCAGCTCCTTCCATTCATGGAGCAATCAAATTGGATTCCATCCAGTATAAAAAGTCTCAGCATACATTTTACTCACAGACATAGATTATTCTGTGGTAAGGACAGCAAGCACTCTGTTATACGTATGGAAGCCTATCTATTTAACATAGGGTTGTTGTTTTATTCCCCAAACTCCATAAGGCACATGTTAAAAGTGGCGCATCTCAGTATCTAAGTTAAACAATAAAAGAAACAGAGAACAACTGAAAGAAAACAACTGAAATAAATTTGTTGCTATAGACCATAATTTTACAGTGTAGGTTAATAATCTAATTTAACATTTGAATAATAGGCACATAGACTTACATTTTTTCTTGGTATTAGTAAAAAAATATTTGTGATTCTTCTAATTTAACACACAAATCTACGTAAAAGTGTATTTGTTTCAGCTTTTGAATTCTCCCAGGAAATGTGATGACTTAGTTCATAGTAAAGGCACACACACATAAAAAACAGATATTTCCTATTTACTTTTACTTCTATTTACTCCCATTGCTTTTGATAACTGGATGGAGGAGAAATTCACATTTGATGTGAATTTATCTAATTTGTGCTTTTCAAACTAGTCTGTGAATTCACAGTGCTGATGTACTTTTCTGAATTTTGAGATGCGGTCCTCAAAACAAAACAAAATGCATACAAAAATATGATGACACAGGGAAATAACAAAGAAAAATGGATCACCATTATGGAGAAAATACTTGCAAAAAGTGTGTAAATGAAAAGTCCTGTTCTCAAGAAATGTGCCTCAAAATAAATGAAGAAGCCTGACAGCACATTTTCAGCTAGCACATTTTATTAAACGACACAAGCTTTTAATAAAACATGTACTCTAAAAGGTGCTGCCAGACTCCTCCTGATTTTTTGCCACCAGAGACTAACATGGAACTAACATTCTCCTACAACTTCTCCTGCCAGAGTCAGCCATTTTTCCAATAAATCATATTCATCATCTGCATTGGTGTGACAATCAAAACAATGGGTTGGTTTCCATTTGCTAAGATAGGTGAACTGAGAATTCTGGGCAAATTGTTTTAATTTTCTGTAAATAACAATAGCAGTTGAGACTTATATACCACTTCACAGTGCTTTACAGCCTTTTCTAACCGGGTTACAGAGTCAGCATATTGACCCCAACAATCTGGGTCCTCATTTTACCCACAGCTGAGTCAACCTTGAGCCTGATGAGATTCAAACTGCAGGCAGCTGGGGGTCAGCAGAAGTAGCCTGCAGTTCTGCACTCTAACCACTGCACCAACATGTCTCATGAAATAATAGTTATGGGAGGGAAAAATGCAAGCTATGGCTCTCACATTTTTCAAATTACATATTTCGTGGGGTGCTTCAAAGTAGGGCACAGAACAAGTTTATAATTTAGTGTTAGCGGTTTCAAACCCAAGCAATAAAACCCCCAGTTTACAACCAGAGGCAAAACTCTTTCATGCAACCACGACTATGTAATACGATTCCTGCACTGGTGTACAAAAGCAATTTAACACTTTATTGCATTTATGATACATCAAGAACTGTTATTAAAGTAATTTTTAGTTCTAGTCAAAAAGGGGTGGGAGAAGGAAGTAACAACAAAATATTTATACAGTTGTTGAATGAATATACAATTTGACCCTTGTTTAGAAGATCTTGTGTGTGTGTGTGTGTGCATGTGTGTGCGTGTGCGTGTGTGAGAGAGAGCGTGTGTATAACAAGAATTATATGTGTGTGTATGTGTATGTGTGTGTGTGCACACACTCCCACCAAACATAATATATATGATCCCAATTTATATGTTAATAGTTCAGAGGTACAAAATTATTAAAAATGTCTAACTGATTCAGGATTCTTTACTATGTTGTCTGTTGGATAAAAATTTGATGAACACGAAAGTAACCTTAGAATATAATTTACTGGTGAAAAGCTGCCAAAAGTTGCTTTTAGCTTGTAGCAACATGCAGGACTAGAAAATCAAAATAAACTTAATTAAATAGCAAGTGTTCACATTTCTTCCGAGAATGTAATAACACTTGAGCCTTTGGGTGACCAAAACTAGATTTCTATTCCTTAATTAATATATTTAAAAATAGTATGAAATATGAAGAGCCTGTGTGAGTAGGACTATGTATTTATTAAAGCATTTAACACAATATTATTGGATTTCAGACATACAAGTAGTGCTAAATATTCTCAAAATATGCTCTGAAGTGTCTCTAATTTTTTTCTAAAGATTTGAGAATCGAAAGGAGGTTGTCTGAGAGAAACAAACCAATTCTCTCTGGTGACAGATGGTAGTACTGGACATAACTCTTCATATTCTCCACATGAAGGGAACCAGTGACAGTACAAACAAGTCAATAGAGCTAGGACATTCAATAGCTTCTCTCTTAATCTCAACCCCTTGTCACCTCTTTCAGCCATGTATCACACAACTGGCCAAGTAAGCACATAAATACTGTACAATATTAAGCAATAACATTAGCATGTTATTTAATCCATCTCTCTGAGTAAATCATCCCTCAAAGCAAGCATCAGAATTTTCTAACTGTTGTTGCTATGCTCTATTAGTAAATGTATTTAGAAGTCAATCTTGACATTCTTCAATTATTTATTTTCTTTAGTTACAAACGAGAAAATAAACACACTTAGTTCTTGGGACAGTGAGTGTCTTCAGCATTATTAGAATTTATCTGAAATTTAGGGGAAACCTTACCTGGGATTCTAGGTTCTTCCGTGATGATGCAGGGGTGTTGGCATAAGAGCTGATGGAGGAGCTTGTATTAATGTCATCAGTGCTGAGGTTATCTATGGTATCACTGATACCACTGCTGACGGAACTGCTGTCATCCCAGCTGCAGAGAGACAAAAGAATCCCCATAAAGATAACTCAAATAAGCAGCTACCAATACACCAAGAAAGCAGAATTTTAAGAAAATATTAAGATCTAATTGATTATCAAAATCTTCCTACATAATACAGGGATATCCCAAACAAACATCTCAGATTATTTTTCACACTGCTTTTTAGACATATTCTGAAAAGAATAAGATTGCTTTAAATGAAATGCTACTACAAAACTTGGAAGGAACAAGAGAAGCAGCCACAATTTAGGTGAACAATGAAGAAAATCATTCTGGATGTGAAAATAGCAAAACAGAAGTCATTTTAATATTCAATTAGTTCTTATTTTAATTATTAAATAAAAGTTTCTAAACTTTAAAAATGCTTTAAACAGATGTACTGCATTTCGTTTTACCATAATTTTGTGTTGCAGGCAATCATTCTGCTCACCAATAATGGGGATCAAAGTTTCAATTTATCTTTATTATTATTATTATTATTATTATTATTATTATTATTATTATTATTATTATTATTATTATTATTATTATACAATTGTATCACAGCGGC